GCAATGTGGCTAGAGGTGGAAGGCCGCTGGCCTGAGCAGTCAGTCTGCAGCGGGGGAGGTGCACTTGGAATTCGTTGAATGTGCATTCCTTAGATGCTTGACAGGGGTGAATGCCTCCTTATTGGCTTCTACCCATTTTCACTGGTGTGGCTGCTTTAGTAGGGAACAGGTATTACCTTTAAACATGCAGCGTGCTTCCTAGCTTTTAATCACTGATGACTTGCTGCTCTTAGGTTTTTGGAATTAGGCTTTTAAAGCAGAGTTTTGTTTTATCCTCATTTGGTTTATATCTATTCAATTTTTGGTTTGTTTACTTATTTTTAAAAACTGAAGTCTTAGGGCTGGCATGTTGGCTCATTCCTGTAATCCCAGCACTTTGGGAGGCCGAGGGGGGCTGTCACTTGAGGTCAGGAGTTCAAGACCAGCGTGGCCAAAATGGCCAAACCCTGTCTCTACTAAAAATACAAAAATTAGTTGAGCATGGTGGTACGTACCTGCAATCCTACCTACCAGGAGGGTGAGACAGGAGAATCGCTTCAATCTGGGAGCTGGAAGTTACAGTGAGCTGAAATAATGCCACTGCACTCCAGCCCAGGTGACAGAGACACCGTCTCAAAAAAAAAAAAAAAAAAAAAATGAAGTATTCGGTTAAGAGTCTTCTTGTTGTGGTTGAAGCCTTTCAACCACGCATGAGCCATTGTGCTTAGCACTGGAGATACACAGATTGATAAAGCAAGACCCCTCCCTTGAATTTCCCGGTAGGTTCATGGCTTTTTCTTTACGAGCTTCTGATTGCTCTCAGTGTGAATGGCTTGGTGATTATTAAGAAATGCAAATAGACTTATGTTGTTTATTGACAATTATTTTGTTTTTATTCATTTGGTAAAATATTTTTAATAGCCATTATTAAATGCCATAATCTGCATTGGCTTTTATTTTGTCTGAAGAATAATTTAAAAACTATGAAAAGTAAAATAAATCTATTCATCCAGCCAACCAGCTATTCTTTAAAAGATTTTTAAAAACAGCAGATGAACTTCTGATCAAAACTCAGGCACACAGCTGCTTTCTAGAATGGCCTTGCTAGTTCCTGATTCCCTCTAAGCCATCTTCATGCCATATTGTACTCCTACCCCAGTTCTTCACTCATCTATTCTGGTAATGTGCTTATGATCATTCTCTTCTGAGAATCTTCTTTGGATTTCAAGTTATATAAATGACAATAATAATTTTTCTAAGCAAGCCACTTAAAACTATTGTGGATTAGGCTTTATATAGACTTCTGTTTTATATTTAAATTAATGTACAGTATGAACAATCATGAAAACTAATTAGTTTAGAAATAATATTGCAATATTTAAACTTTCATTTAAATAGGCCTTTGCCTACCTTCTTCTAAATGAGGGTAGTTATATACTAAACAGTCATACATAAAAGAGTATTAAAAGAATATTAAAATAAAATGAAGCAATTTAATATGCCCAGGCATTGATTCCTTCTTTAGAAATTCTACAGCACTGAGTACATGGTTCTGTCAAAGCCCTTATCACATTGAATTATAATTACCGTTTATAGTCTATGTCTGATGAGGCAGGGAAATCTTAACCTATTTATCTTTGGATTCTCGGTTTTGACATAATGTCCGACACATAGAGGATGCTCAGCATAAACCTGTTGAATGAAAGAATAAGCAAGAGGCTGGGCGCGGTGGCTCACGCCTGTAATCCCAGCACTTTGGGAGGCCGAGGTGGGCGGATCAAGAGGTCAAGAGATCGAGACCATCCTGGTCAACATGGTGAAGCTCCATCTCTACTAAAACTACAAAAAATTAGCTGGACATGGTGGCGCGTGCCTGTAATCCCAGCTATTCAGGAGGCTGAGGCAGGAGAATTGCCTGAACCCAGGAGGCGGAGGTTGCGGTGAGTCGAGATCGCGCCATTGCACTCCAGCCTGGGTAACAAGAGTGAAACTCTGTCTCAAAAAAAAAAAAAAAAAAAAAAAGAAAGAAAGAAAGAAAGAAAGAAAAAGCAAGGAAAGAGAATGGGCTTGATTTCCTCACTCCACGATTTATAGTGTATGACCTCTTAGCCTGCCTGTGTCTCAGCGTCCTCGTCTAACATCTGAGTGAAATAAAGTATAGTAAAGAGCTTTAAAAGAAAGCCTGTGACTAAGCTATAGGGAATTACACGGGGCCTAATTAACTTGAGTGTCCCTTCATTCAATCAGAGTTGATTACTTACTGTGCATGAAACCCAGCTACACCACCAGACACCCAGTTCCTGTCCTTGGGAGGTTGATGTCTAGGGAAATGACGACAGGTAAACAGGTGACAGCATTCGATGTGCTAATTGTATTGTGACAAAGGTTGACAAAGTACAGACTGTAAGGGGCACATTGGATTGTCTCTCCCACAGACACCAGGAGTCTGGGAAGGATTCTTGGAGAACCTGACATCTAAGACCCAATATATGTCAGATAAATATTTCGGGCAATGGAACAGGCAATGCAAGGTCCTGGAGGGACAGGCAAGAGCCTGATGAAATGTATGTAAGGGGAGAAATTCCTCGTATCATATCCTTGTTCCAGAGATCATTAAGTAATGCTTTGTAATCTGTGGTTCATCTGTTTCTAAAGTGAACAGAAAAATATCTAAGTTTACTCATTTTTTTCTTCCAACATTTAGGAAGTTTTCTTTCTGGAAGTGCATTTCTAAAAATTTCCTAACTTACCCTTATTTATGACTGTTATCATTTGGCACATGTTTTATCAACAGAATAGCAGAACTCAATATTTGTGGTGCAAAAAAGGCCAACTTAAAAATATTCCTGAATATACTGCCAATTACTAAATTAGTTTTTAAAAATCTGAAAGTATTTTACCATTGATTGGTTTCACCCCTCACTAATTGCTGGTATATGGCTTTCTGAAGGTGAAAAGACTATGCTCCTTAGAAATATTTATATTGACAGAATTAGCAGTTTAATAAATATTTGTCACATTGTATTCTTTTTGTGGTTAATCGTTACATACTGGGCATCTCATTAGCATTTACATTTTGTATATTTTATCTAACCACCACAATAGCATGAAGTGTATTTTGTGCTGACAAGCGGAGATACTGAACTATGTATTCAGGTCAGTTATCATAAAACCTTGACTTCTTTAAAAGAGCAGTGAACAGAACATCGGCAAACCAGAAAATCTTTTTTTTTTTTTTTTTAAAGATGGGGTTTCACCATGATGGTCAGGCTGGTCTTGAACTCCTGAGCTCAGGTGATCCACCCACCTCAGCCTCCCAAAGTGCTAGGATTACAGGCGTGAGCTAGGATTACACTGCGCCCGGCAAACCAGAAAATCTAAGTCTGATTCTTGGCATAGCCATGAACTAACTCTGTGGCTGCAGGCAGGTCACTTAACCTCTATTTTATTTAATAATTGTTTTCATTATCCTATTCATTTACACTTTAAACAACATAGAAACAGTGTTTGAAGAAGCTTTCAGTGGAGATTAGTTAAAAAAAAATACTTAAAGTTTATTTAAGTATGGGTAAATCCTAGATCTTAAATTTTTTTAAAAAAGATCCAAATCTCCTTGAGCACTATTTATGCTTTCAGCACTATTTAACTTCTGTTTTACTGAATCATTGCTGACTTCATAAATGTTTGAAATAGACTGTAGCAACATTAATAGAAGAAGAAATTTTTAAAATAACTTTAATGGATCCAGATATGCAGTATATTGCATAAAAATAATATAGAAAAAATGATGATGTTGTTACAATATAAGATCCTTAGGTGTCTTTTAGAAATTTTGATTGCAAAATATGCTTAAAAGATTGATCTTATGAATTGATGGGAAGAAATGAACTACAGAATAATTCTTATAATATTCACACCATAAATCAAATCGTTTACTTTGTTCAGTTTGACCCATCAAGTATTATACCCAAAATTTTCTACAAAAAGAGCATCCCATGGAAAAGTCTGTTGCTTTCCTGGTTCCTGAAAATACAGAATTGCTAATTACCTTGGAGGATGAACATGGCTTCAGATCAGACATTTATTACACAAATTATTATTTTTCCATCTCCAAATTTCTTAAAGATACGAAACAGCCAATTTTAAGCAAATTGGTTTCCCTCATGCTTCTTAAGTGCAAGAGGTGCCCATCTGAGTCTGAAGATAATGATGGCATGAAATGGAAATCGAAGTTTCAGACCACAGTCAGGGTAGTCTTCTACTAAAAATAAGTGGCCATGTAAATGCTACCACATCTTGTTTTGCAAGTCTGTCCTCACAGAGCAAATAATTGTTTTTGGTGCAGAGTTCAGACACAAAATTATCCATTAGTGGTTAGTAATGGACCATAATTTTACATGTTTTTAGAAAGAGCATTTGGAAAATGAAACACTGAAAATGATGGCCATATAAGGAATATTAATATTCATATAAAATAAAAGTTAGGGACACATAACCTTTTTTACTGACAACTACTGGCACAGAATATTTTCTACTTTCTTGAGAAGGGGACTATGATGCTTCATCCAATGGTAGACATAGACATTAAGAAATTCTACAACTTATACAGTATATTAATATCCTGCTCTGCAGTATGTTAGCTTTAATGGAAAAATGGGAACGATTAATAACTGTAAGTTTTAAGATAGATAAATCAGAAAGCAGTTTTGGAATGTTAAATATATTACAGGCAAACAATATAAACCTGTGTCTAAATCAAATGTAAATGCCCACAGCAAATTTCTGCCCTTCATTATTAACATATAACCCAAAAGAGATGAATTTCAAGCAAACGTCAAGACAGAATTACACTTGTAATTGAACTTTCAACATAAGGTTATATACATTTCCAATGTGGTGCCAATAAGGCCAGATGAGTTATGTTCAGTTTCCAACATGGTGAAACTGATAAAGATGGTTTTGCTGAAAATCGAATTAACTGAAATCATCTAATTATAAATGAAGAAAGTAAATTCTACCCCATTTATTTCTTTGTAAAGAATTTTTTTTTTTAGCATAAAGAAAAATATGCATGTGAGTAACTCAGATTAGATGAAACTAAAACTTGATTTTCACGTAGTAATGAATAATAATGATTAGGAGCTAGTATCTATGGAGCACTACTAAGAGTCAGGCTCTGTACTATTACATTTATTATTCCATTTATTTTTTCCAAGAAACTTTGAGGTTGACACTGCTTTGCAGATGAAGCATCAGAGGTACAGAGAAATGAAAGAACCTGTTTAAGGCCATACACCCAACAAATAATCCAAACTCTGACAATCTGACACTAGAGCACACTCAGTCTGTATTTGTTGATTTTTTTCTCTCCCAGTAGCAGGAAAATGAGATACTCATTGAAGGTTATTGCTAGGTTCAAGTGCTAATTACTAAACACAGACTTTGCATCCCTAAACCACAATCTGAACCAGCCAGCTGTTTAATTTCAGGACTCCATGGGGCTGGGGTGGGGGGCACTTTAGCATGGGAATTCAATGGTCCTATAACCCAAGGCTGCTCTAGGAACTTTGCTAGACCTTATTGGGAGAAAGGTTAGACTTCTCTCAGTGTTGTAGAATATCTCAGCTATAGCTCTTTTTTCTTTTTTTGGGTGGGGGGTGGGGGGACAGGGTCTTGCTGGAGTGCAATGGCATGATTTCAGGTCACTACAACACCCACCTCTTGGGCTCAAGCCATACTCCCCACTCAGCCTCCTCAGTAGCTAGGACCACAGATGTATGCCACCACACCCAGTTAATTTTTTGTGTTTCTGGTAGAATACAAATAAATACTTATTAACCTTAGAGACCATCTGGCCCATTTTCCAGATTACCAAACTGAGGCCCAGATTTTTTTTTTTTTTTTTTTTTGAGACAGTCTTGCTCTGTTGCCCAGGCTAGAAGGCAGTGGCAAATATTGGCTCACTGCAACCTCTGCCTCTTCGGTTCAAGCGATTCTCCTGCCTCAGCCTCCTGAGTAGTTGGGACTACAGGCATGCACCACTGTTATCAGGTTTTCTCTTGGATGCTGGTGAGGCACAGCTCCCCTGAGAGAATGCTGTGGGTACTTGGTCTCCAACCTCTTAAAGGCTAAGCGATGGGACCACTGCAGGTGCACCGTATGCTCATAAAAGGAAATATCGGACCCAAGAAGTGTTGCAGAAAGGTGATTTTATTTAGGTACAGAAAAGAGAAGGAAAGGAGAAGAGGAGAAAGACTTCCACGAAGAGTGTGGAAGGGGATTCCAGAGGGGAGATCCCAGAGGGAAATGTGAGCTCCCACCGTGGGGAGGGGATTCCAGAGAGCTGGAAATCTGGCGTGGGTGAAGGAGCAGGGGAATTTATCCTGGGAGAAATTCCCACCTTCCCAAGTTCCTCTGGCCAATGAAAGGAGTTCCTTAGAACTTCTGCTGGAGTGACTTTTAGTTTCTTCCAACGCCCGTGAAATTTAAACATAAACTGTTAAAACTCCTGGGTGGAGAGAGATGGGAAGGGGGCATGGTGCTGGGAAATTCTTGCCCTTAAAACTACGGCCCCTCATGGACCCAGAAAGAGACCACATTCACTTACCACCAAGCCCAGCTAATTTTTGCATTTTTAGTAGAGACAGGGTTTTGCCATGTTGCCCATGCTGGTCTCAAACTCCTGACTTCAAGCTATCCACCTGCCTTGGCCTCCCAAAGTGCTGGGATAACAGGTGGGAGCCACTGCATCCTTAGCTCAACCATAGTTCTAAGGCAGCTCTAACCCAGTGAAGGGAGGCAAAAGTGTACAGCGTGAAAACAGTATGATGGCAGAAAGGGCATATGCATTCAGACAAAGTCTTAGTTCCCTCATTTATAAAACACAAGTCTTTTATAAAACATAAACTTTTCTGCCTCTCTATCGGTTATTAGAGAGTAGAAATAAAGCAACAAGAATGAAAGTAGTCTGCAGACAGCCAAGGTTAACACAAAATTGGCACTACTATGAAATTAAGGTTGAAGCAATTAATTGTGAGACACAAGAAAGGACCACTGAATTTGATGCCAAGGATAGAAGATCCACATGTGTAGACCTTCTTAGCCAGGAAAAAGTATATAAATGAAGAAATAAATAAATTACTGCTTCAGCTTTAGTTTTTCTCCTTGGTCTGTCTCTAGGGGTACGCATCATTAGAACTCCAAAAACACGTGATCACATTATACGACCAGAAGCGTTCCTGGGTCTTATAAAGATCAGTTTATGTGGGCTACTCCAGGACGCATAAAAAGGTTTTTTAAATAAGCGAATCTGCAAAATGAGATGAAGTTTGAGTGAAAAGAAACATGGTATAGCACAAAGAGCACTAGCCAATCATTCAGAAGTAGTTCCACAACTTTTTTTTTTTCCAGAAATATTCACCACTGAGAATTCAACCTATATCAACCATTGTTGATACTAAGCCAATCAGACACACTTTTCTACTTTTTACAAATTGACAGACTACTGTGATGGGCAGATACTATACAAACAATCTTACAAAAGTATGTTAGTTATCAATGAGTTTGATGAGTTTGAACTTCAGTTTTCGTAATTATTAGATGAGAAAATTGGAGTAAATGACTGACAAATTCTCCTTCACTCTGATAACCTATGACTATTTTTTAGTGTCAATCTGGAGAAAAGTTAGAATAAGAAAAGATACAATGTCAATTAAGAAATGAGAGTGGCATGCAACATAATTATTATTTACATTTTAATGTGAATATAAAGGTTAGATTTTAAAGATTATACAATTTTGCCAGAAATAAAAATAATTCAAAACTTTTTAGACAGAATAATCAAAATAAGCAAAAAGTTTCCTGTCCATCTTTATGGTATCACAATAACTTACACTTACTGCCTTCCCTGTACCAAGCAATTTATACCATAATTTAAAATATGTTATATCTTTTTAACCTAGAGGAGCTCTATGTTGTGTTATTATCTTACTTATAGGTAAAACAAGGAGGTTTATAGGGACAGAGACAGCCCTGTAGCCACAGAATGATAGAGCTACATTTGGGGATTTGGGGTCTCTTTGCCTCATTTCAAAGCCTACACTTAATAAGCCTTCTTGCCTTCCACTACACACCATTGCTCATGTGCTACATTGGTGCATGAAGCCTCATTGTGAGTGAAATATAAAGTAATGGCGTACTGGTAGGGGCTGGGAAATGGTGGACTCAGGAGATGAAGGGACAGCCTGATATGATTTTATGTTGGTGCAATGGAAACAGATTGTAAAGTTCCTTACTCTCCTGCAGAGGAATTTAAACTTTATTGGTGTAGGCAAGATTATAAAACCTTTACAGAATACATACTACTCTGTGAATAAAGCAGGAGAGGGAGGGAGGGAGGGAGGGAGAGGGGGGTGGGGAGAGGCAGAGAGAAAGAGGAGGTAGAGCGAGAGAGAGAGAGAGGAGGGGGAGGGAGGGAGGGAGGGAGGGAGAGGGGGGGGGGGAG